GCTAATGGAGCTGAAGGAACATCCAGAGAAAATGGGCGACATTAGTAAGTTTGCAGTAACGTCGAAGTTTCACTATGACACTACATTCTGACATTTCCACTGTCGCGACATTCCCGAGTGAAATATATGTAATAAAACCAGACGAAAGAATAGCAATTACTCATTTAGAGAAGCCTCATTTTCGAGAACTACAAATTTAACTAACGAGTGAATTGTATTATTCTTTCTCGATCAAATGCAAGTATTTGAAAGTATCGAAGCTAATAGAGAGATATTTTTTATACTTCCTGTATTTTGATGTCAATTTTGTATTTTTAATTTGTGTTGACAAATGAGAACTGATTTGTATTTAAAAATCAAATGAGGAACTGCATATATAAAAATAGCAGTATGTATAAAAATAACAGTGGATCAAAAAATTATCGAAGAGAAATGATCAGCTGCTGATGAATAACCATTTCATAGAAAAACCTACGACTACGTACATTATTCATACGATAAATCAGTGTAATTTAATTGATATACTTGTACAATTAACACAAAAAAATTGTAAATTTTCTTCTTTTCTTATAGAAATAACAGACAATTTGTTGGCGGCACAAGCTTTCGGTTTCTTCGTTGCCGGTTTTGAGACTTCATCGACGACAATGACCAACGCCCTCTACGAACTTGCCCTGAATCCCGATATTCAAGACAAGTTGCGTCAAGAGATCGATGAAAACTTCGCGAGGAACGATGGGGACTTTAAATACGAAAATGTGAACGACATGAAGTATTTGGACAAAGTGTACAAAGGTACGTGTCTCAGCAGAGGAATAAACTCATACCAGAAGAAAATACGCGAGTATTTTAGTACTTTAGTATCTTACCAAAACATTTTATTACTCAGTATCTTATTTAATACTTTTAATACTTTTACTATAAAATATATATTATACTATACTTTTAAGATACATAATATATCTTGCTGTAATATAACATCTTATTTACCAAGTTTTTGCTTAGTATCCTATTCAGTCTCTTATATTTAATACTTTGTATCTTAATATCTTAGTTTTCCAGAAATACCATGAAAAGTATGCGATCTTGGAGACATTTATAAAAATTGCCACATTTTTCTCAAAAACGAAGATTCCCCTTCGCTTCATTTTTTTTACTTTCTTGTAAAATGCATGTACGCAGTTTTACATACGAAATAGAAAAAGACTGTTTCTCATAAGTTGTAGCTAAGAAACAATTGTGAAAATATTGGTTGTAGTTTGCTAAATCGATAATTTATTTCCTTCTTATTTAATTAAAATGAAATTTCACGATATTTATATAACATTTAATGTATTTCTGCAGAGACGTTAAGGAAATATCCACCAATCGGTGTGCTGCCACGAAGAGCTGTTCGTCCTTATACTTTCAGAAATACAAAGCTCACTATACCAAGGCGTTTAATGGTATGGATTCCTACACTGGCGATACATCGTGATCCCGACATTTATCCAAATCCCGACGAATTCAATCCCGA